AGTGACTGAGAGTATGTGTATATATTCTCTCTCTCTCTCTCTCTCTCTCTCTCTCTCTCTCTCTCTCTCTCCCCATCCATCCATCCATCCATCTATAATATTCCTCCTACCGACCCTCCCACTCCAGGGGGGCACCTAGCAGCTCAGTAAAGCCTCCAGGTTCAGCAACAGTTTATCCCTGAACGTTTCCCAAAGGAAACCAGTCAAGTCCGAGGAAGAGTCCTCTCTTTTACTGCTCTGCTCACTTCCTCACCTGGAGGTCTTTGGGTGGTCAAGACCGTTGGGCTACCCTAGTCTAAGCATCTTCATGTCCTTCCTCCCCAAGAGTTGGGAACGGAACCTCCATGGGCAAGAAAAGTCTACCTTAGTGAGTTAACAAAGCGGGATTCCTGTCGGATCCAGCCTCCCGGGGTTCTTGAGACCGGGCGGGGCAGACGGCGCGCTCTGCACTCGCTCAGGGGTCCCCTGGGCTCTCACCCTTTCGTGCCATCCCCACCCTAGCCCGCCTCGTACAGCGGGGTCTTTTTACCTGCTTCCCCGCGGCTGCGGCCAGGGATTTCTGCAGGAACTGCCGGAGCCTGGGGTCGGAGGGCGCAGCTGCCACGGTGCTCCACGCCACGGAGACGGACACGAGCAGCGCCAGGGCGCAGTGGAGGCGACAAGGAAACATAGCGGCGAAGCTCCGAGGAGGCGCGGTTAGATGCCTTCAGTGCTCCGGTGCCAACCTTGGCTTCTGGGATATCCACCGGCGCCCCCACTTTATAAAGCCCACTGCTGACGTCAAGGCAGGGGCGCGACCCCCTCCCCTCCCCTTCCCCGCTCTCCCAAAAGCGCCCGGCGTTTTGATGGCCCATTAAGCGCGCAGATCCATCAAGTTAAGGCGGAGAGCTGGCGTGGCGGGGGGGAAGGGCAGGGGGCGAGGGGGCGAGGGGCAGACCCACGGGGACGCGTTTGTGGCATCACCACGCCCCCTCCCCCCCAGAACGGGCTCTTTGCTTTCCTTTCCACCCCTCCCTCTCCCCAAAATGCGCTTCCTCCCGCAAATGCTATGGGGGGGAGATGATTTCGTGATTTCCACAAAATCGATTTTTACGGGGAGCGGGGGAGGGAGGGCTATTGCTCTGTTGGACCCCTCGTAAATATGGTTTATGTGGGGCGGGGGAATTGGAAGAGAATCTCTCTCCAGATCCTGGAGAAAGGGAAGCAGAAGGAATTCGGGCTATTTCTAAAGCTGCGAGGCCGAGTTCAGACGACACGTTGAACTGGGTCAGAGAGAGAGAGAGNTTCCTCTCCTTTCTCCTCTCCATCCTGACTTCCGCATTTTGGGGTTTTTTCTTCTTTATATTCTTCATATTAATTGCTATCCTACCATTTATCCTTTTCACTATGGACATAGGCTGGATTAAGCAGTTTTTTCTTGGCTGTCCGCTATAAACCACGATGCCTTTTCTAAGTCTTAAACCACTATTATCACATCAGCTTACATCTTGGGTTTATGAATGTTCTCTCATTTCGAAGTCTATGGAGTTTCTCCGTCATCCAGGTCCTGGTTGCCCCCCCCCCCCCATTTTTTTTCAAGAGGCAACTGGACTTTTCTTTGAAAATGTTTCGCTTCTGATCCAAGAAGCTTCTTCAGCGCTGGATGAGAGGCAAAACGTCTTCAGTGAAACCCCTCCAAAAATCCAGTTGCTTCTTGAAAAAGCACCTTCGGGACATTGTCTCATTGAACGTTTTCTAGAAAAATCCTGGACAACCAGTTTTCTAGTATAAGGGCTCCTGCCTTGGACAAGGGGTTGGACTAGAAGACCTTCAAGGTCCCTTTCCAGCCCTAGGATTCTTCTGCGGAATTGTCCTTTTGTCTTATTTTGGGCATTCTCGGATGCAAGTGACTTGATGCCACGCCAAAACCCAGCCACTTCTCTCAACTTCTGACTCTAATGTTGCGAAGATTGAAGGCGCTAGCGTGTGTTGGTGCATTTTGGGGGGCGCGTGCACGTGTGAACATGGCCCCATCTATCAAGAAAACAGCCCGCGGTGTACTAGTGACATCGGCAAGCCTGGCGATCCGAGTTTAATCTCGGTCTGTAGGAGAGAAATCTTTTTCAGGACCCTGGACAGCTCCGCGCTTCCCAGTCGCGCCGCTTTCATTGAGAAAACGTCTGTTTCTCTCTATCTTGTTTTTTCTCTCTCTCCCTCGTTCTCTCTCTCTCTCTTTCTCTTGTTCTAGTTCTTTCTTATTCTCTCTTTCTCTTGTCCTTATTCTCTCGTTCTCTTGTTCTTTCTCTTTCNAGCTTTAACCCATCAGTGATAGACAAAGCTGCAAGGAGAACACTTTGCAACACAAGCTTTATTGCCAGAATTTAAGAATTTCAACTAGCAAAAAGGCAGCAGCTGATTCATCGGCCAAAGAAACAGCAATCACAAACTCCAGGAAGGCGTGTACAATTTGAAACAGAAAGCTTTATTAAAACAGCTTGAAAACCAAATGGTACTATTTTTTTTTCTTCTTTTTTTTCCCCTTATTACCTTAACAATATCTTTTTATTATTATTATTATTGTTATCATTATTATATTACAGTCTTCAGCTCCTGGCGTGAAGAGACTGAGAAATGAGAGAGAGAAAGAGAGAGAGAGAGAGAGAGAGAGAGAGAGAGAGAGAGAGAGACGGAAGGGGGGAAGAGGAGATCTCGAAAGCTAACAAGAAGTGAAAGTTTTCCAGAAGAAATTTTTGCATCCGGCTTTGCGCTCCCGAGGAGTCAGGCCCGGGTTCAGGTTGGCGGATCTCTCGAGTTCCAGCCGGACCTCATCTTGTTCGGCGCCGCGGGACACGTCATCGGAACCCAGGGCCTCGTTATCCGGCTGGTTGGGTTCGGAGAGGAGCTCTGCCAGGAAATACTTCGCCAGTTCCTGGGAAGGCAAGAAAAAAAGAGAGAACGTTAGAGGAAAGGAAAATAACAGAATAAGAGAGTTGGGACGGGAGCTTGGAGGTCATCTAGTGCCAGGGTTCCGATGGACGTCCTATTTAAATCATGAGCCTCGAGCCAAGCTTCAAAAGAAATACAGTTATTTATAAGGGGCAAAATGTCTGCATATACCCAAGTGAAGCCAGCTCTGACCCCATTTAATTTATGGCCTAACTATGACCCTTGATTCCCCTATCTCCCCCCAGGGTGTGTCAGAAATCATATTCTCTCGTCCATCACACCCTCTGGGAAAGGTATGCGTGGAATATGCTTCTGGTTGCGGCTGCCATGCTGCTCCATCAGTTTCACACACACACAAACACACACACACACACAAACACACACACTCCTGCTTATTGCAACCCAACAGCAGGCCAGGCTTGGAGGTCTTCTAGTCCAGCCCCCTGCTCAAGCGAGAGACCCTGTACCATTCCAGGCAAACGGCTGCCCAGTGTCTTCTTAAAAACCTCCATTGATGGAGCACCCACAACTTCTGGTGGCAGGCTGTTCCACTGGCTAATTCTTCTAACTGCCAGGAAATTTCTCTTTCAGTTCTAGGTTACTTCTCTCCTCGGGTTAGGACCCACAGCTGAGCCCTGAATTTCTGCATGTCGAGTGAGTTTTGCCCCGTTGTACGACCTTTCTTGCCACCGTTGTTAAGTGAATCACTGCAGCTGTTTAGTTAGTCATGTGGTTGTGAAGCGGATCTGAGCTTCCCCGTGGAATTTGCTTGTCAGAAGGGGATCACGTGACACACACCCCTTGGGCACTGCGATCGTCATAAATGTGAGTCAGTTGCCAAGCATCTGAATGTTGATCACGTGACCAGGGGGAAGCTACAATGGTCGTAAGTGTGAAAAATGGCCATAAGTTCCTTTTTTCATCTCACCCCAATCCTTCTTTTCTTTAAACTAGCCATGTCTTCTATCCATCCATTCTTCACTCCGATGTCTGTCTTTCTTTTTTTCTGTCTTTCCTTTCCTTCCTTCTCCCTCCCTCTTTCTTTCTTTCTTCTTTCTTTCTTCCTTCGTTCCTTCTCCCTTCTTCCCTCTTTCTTTCTATCTTTCTTCCTTCCTTCCTTCCTTCTCCCTCCCTCTTTCTTCCTTCCTTCCTTTCTTTCCTTCTCTTTCCCTCCTTCCTTCCTTCTCCCTTCTTCCTTCTTTCTTTCTATCTTTCTTTCTTCATTTCCTCCCTCCCTCTTTCTTCCTTCCTTTCTCTTTCCTTCCTTCCTTCCTTCCTTCTTCCTCCCTCCCTCCCTCTTTCTTTCTTTTTTCTTCCTTCCTATTCTTCTCCCTCCTTCCCTCTTTCTATCTTTTTTCTTCTTTCTTCCTTTCCTTCTCCCCCTTTCTTTCTTTCATTCTCCATCCCTCCCTCTTTCTTTCTTTTCTTCTTCCTTTCCTTCTCCCTCCCTCCCTCCCTCTTTCTTTCCTTCTTTCTTCCTTTCCTTCTCCCTCCCTCCCTCTTTCTTCTTTCTTCCTTTCCTTCTTTCCTTCCTTTCCTTCTCCCACCCTCTTTCTTTCTTTCTTTCTTTCTTTCTTTCTTCCTTCCTTCTCTCTCCCTCCCTCCTTCCCTCCTTTCTTTCTTTCTTTCTTTCTACTTTTTTCCTTTCCTTCTTTCTTGTGCTTTGCAGAAAGGTTGACCTTCTCTGGGAAAACCCCTCAAATATTCTCTTCCCTAGACCAGCCAGGCCCAGTTCCTGCAACTGTTCTTCGTATGTTTTAGTCTCCAGTCCCCTCATCATCCTGGTTTGTATTTGTATTTGTATTTATTAGAATTTATAGGCCGCCCTTTTCCCTGAGGGG